TCCAGCAAGGAATAAGTTTATTTAGCGATTGGATTTTCGGGGTAGGGTTGCTAGCCCTATGTCCAACCTTCCCTGTCTATCCGGGCTTAGGACCGGCTAGTAACTAGTGAACTAGAGCGTAGCCCTCAGTTATTGAATTAGAGACAAGACCTAGTCAGCAGCTGCATTCTGATTAGATTATCTCGTAGATAATGCCAAGTCAGTATTCTCGGGGCCTACCGGATCTAATCTTGGCGCTACCCAAGATTTCTTCCTACCTTCAGTCATCATGCTCTACCAATAATGCCGGCCTGCCAAACTTCCGCTGTTTTAGATAGTCCCCTCAACAATATTTCATTTTACTAACTTGAAATTATAAAAAACATAGCCACTTAAAATTACTAGCCTAATTGGAAAGTAGTCACCTCTTATAATTAGTTAAAAGTAGATTGTTGATTTATTGTCTCTGTAAAACAAGGAAGTACCAGCGAAAGAGTAAAGTAGATCATTACTATTTCATTGTCACTACTAGTAAGCATACGGGGATGATGGCAGTAGCAAGAAAACCAAAGTGGTCACAGGATTCGAGTCACTGGTCTTCAGACTGACGACCAGAACAGACAAACCAAAGTGAAATCTCGCATAGAAGTGAGTTGGTTCAAGTTGGCACACTTTACAGCAGCACTCTATGAAAGTGGATAGAAAAAGAGTGATATTAAAGTAGACAAAAGTGTATCGGAGAGAGCAATTTTAAAAACTAAGGCTAGCGGAAATTTTGAAACTTGTAATGACGGACAGCAAATACTTCTGAGCCATTCGACCTATTTTTAGGCATGTCACTAAGGATCTCCAACACATTTTCGTGAGGATCCCATCAGGTAGTCTTCACCGGCCAAAGACTTCATGGACTCAGTCTAGCTACCCTCAACCTTCTTCTGACCTAATTTCACTTCGACTTCGAGGCAGGCGATGCCTCAGTATGTCCATATCACCTCAATCATTGAAGCTTCATAACCTATTCGACTGACTTTTCTTCCTTGCACAGTACACTGTGCCTAAAATCAACATTTCACATAAGGGATTCCCTCAAACAGGAGTAACGGTATGAAGAAACCTACGATCAGGAATCTGTAATATATTTTATTACTTTGTCAATGGCTCCCACAGACGCTCAGCAAAAAATAGATAACTGCAGTACGGTACACTTATCGTTTAACAGGTAGTCCGATATATCTTCGATTTAAAAGAAAATTGATAGGAAGTGGTCTAAATGAAAATCAGCATTTCAAGTCATCAACTGCTAAGTTGGAAGTATTCGTGTTTAAGTGTTTTGCTTCATTTCGCTGTGTGGTCGGGAAAACCTTTTTGGACAGTTTTATCCTACAGTTGACCAATCAAACAAGTTATTTAACTTTTGACCCAGTGGTTTTAATTGTTGATGAAAACTATACATAAATGATTTATTTCTGTTGAATAGAGTGTCTTCTTTAAACTCACAGACCAGTTATTGTTTCGAACGTTTTCGTGGTCCACTGAATCATAAGGTACCTAACGGCTAACAAAGTTACAGTTCCATCATAACCACTCGGAGTTTTACAAAACTGACGAACTGAAGAGCGGTTAATAAACTGTCAGGTTACTGGTTGTAATTCCCGTAAACGAAGAATAGTCTTTTTAAATCAAAGGGTTAACAGTTGGTCAATAGCTTCTGACTTTCAAGTTCAGCTCGTTTCAGACAGGAACAAGAAGACACCATACGTATAGTTTAGTTTTAATCACATACACAGCAGCTGAGCAAGATTTCGGATGACTGGACTTCATCAAGATCTGATTAGTAGTGAGATCTCATACCGGGCCAGTGACTGACAGGTTAATGGTTCCAATCTCACAGTCGCCATCCATATGCATCAAAATCAGTTTATCGACTAATATAATCAAGAAACTTGTGAAGATGGACTTATCCAATCAAGTTACTGACAGAAGCAAGACATTGGCACCTAAAATATCTCCACATACTTAATATGCTGTGACAATGACCACGAGTATATTCGTCTTTCTGACTTACTTTATTGCCTAATGTCAAAATTTGTTACTCCGTCGTACGGGGTACCCCTCGCTAAGCTTCGACAACACACCTATACCAATTTTTCCGTCTATTAATAAAGCATCCTTTTCATGGATGTAATATTTAATAGTTCTCAGAGTACTAATAATGCATAGCTGTGCTTGTGCGGCTAAACACCACAAGGTTTCGTGAAAAAAGTAGTCATAGTCATTCAGTTGGTAGCTATGTAGGAGAAATGACTGATTTCCAAATGTTTTTGTTCACTGGTTGAAATCAGCAGTGAAATGAGGTGAATGTGCTGCATTGATGAGGAATTCCACACTAAAATGACAGTCTCATCCCATTCTGAAATTCAAGATTCCTCCAGTTGACATCAATTTGTGGTATAACCTTTATTGGGATTTTATTTAAAAAGGGTTGTCAGTCTCTATCTCAGACTTGTAAAACCCATTAATAAAGTTTGAAAAGTACAACATGTTTGGTGCCGTTCTTGAGAGATGCTTGCATCCACTATTTGTAATTGCAAAAAACGAATCTATGAAACTCCATTTAGACTTTGTTATTAGCAATGACAAATATCCTCTTCAACAGATTGATGTTTGACCACTGGTGTACGACAGACAATTGATTACTAGGTGAGTAACTGACTGTTAGACAGGTAACATTGATGTTGAGCAAAGAGAATAACTCACTGATTTTAATACTACTCATCATATAAAATCATGAAGGAAATAAACAGTTACCTGAAACGAATGACATCTCAATTTCTTTTTACATATACTTTAAAGTATGAAAGTTGACATGACAGAACATATCGAGAAATACATGAATTATTCATCAATGTGTAAGCGATATAGATGTCTAGTCCCTAGTGTTCAGTATTGACCGACCCCCCACCGACCAAGTTTTCAACGTGATTACCAAGCTAAGTGACATGATGCAACGGTACAATAAATTTTCATAGTCGCTAACTTAAGCACTGATTGATGGAGGATCGAAATATTGCAGGGACGCAAACTTTTCCATGTTTCCCGATATAATTTGCTGATTAGTGTTAATAAGCACAAAGCCTAAGGTTTAGTGCTTTCTTTCAAGTGATTCCCAACGTCTTACGCACTCAGGAATGCTTCAAAGTTCACCTTATCTCTCACAATGATTCATAACTTCACAACTATTGATCTATATTAAATGAACGCTTCAATACACATCAGTTTCCGTAAATGAAAGTATCATCAACGAAAGACAATGTTGCTGCTTTACAGTAGTCTACTAAATATTTTTTTCATCGATGCCTCAACATTTATTTCTCCGTCCAAACGGGCTGGTTGCCGACAAAATCTTAGCTTGGATACAAAACGCTCGTTTGGCATTTTCCAAATTGCATTATGTTTGGTGCCGACTGGCAAGATATCTGACCACCTATCGAAGAATGAGCATGCTGCGCTCCAATCCGTTCTCTCCTAATGTACAGCTGTGAGACAAGACCGTTGAAAGTAGACGGCATGAAGTGGTTACAGGGTTTCGATTACGAGTGTCTTCGTAGCATTGCTCAAGTTTCGTGGAATCACTGTGTGAGCAATGTTGAGGTCAGGCGAAGGATACTAGGCACGAAAAGCAAGTCTAGTGATGAGGTTGTGGACCTTAATCGGCTAAGACGGCTTTGGCATGTAATGCCTATCCCAAGCCAACCTCAACTTGTCATGCTAGGGGAAAGCTGAATGAGGTTAGGAGAGGGATTAGGGTGACCAGACCAAGACCTAGCACCAGTCAGTGAAATTCTTACCATTGGCTTAAGCCGTGTGCGGAGATAAAGACTGCTTGGTTGGGGTCTGTGAGACAATAGGAGTCACTGGTTGGGAGATCTTAGTAACATGGATGAAAATCAGCCACAACGGTGCAGATGTGATTATTCTTTGACGTTTTGTAAAGCTTGAATATTTGCGCTATCCATTATCTTTAGATTGCTTATTCCCACACACTACTTTATCTTCTTTGATATCACTCCTTTTCTATCCACTTGTTCCTTATGTACTACTGTGAAGTATGGCAACTTGAGCCGATACACCTATGTCCAAGGTTCTACGTTCATTTTGCCAGTCAATCAGGCAATCAATATGCCTACTAATTAAAGCTTGTTTTTATCTACAGGTAGATTAAATATCAAACATATTCCATCAAATAAACTAGCGGAATTGGGGCTTATTGGTCTAGGGAGTTGACTTTCAACCAGTGGGTTATGGATGTGAACACCAACCCACCTAACGAGGTTTGCACAACCATGTATTATCACTAGCTCTCACACAATAGGTGTGGGTCACTACCTACTGCATGAATGTGAACACGGTTGTTGAGTGTATTTCGATTCGACTCGATCAGATGAACTTTGTATATCCATAGACATCAATTACAATCAAGTTCATTTCGGTTTGTGAACAAGAATTTACTAAACAACCAAAATATAAAGGAAATTATAAATTGCTACCTCGATTACATTAGTATGAACAAATAAACCTACTCCTTTCATCTGATATAACACTAGGGAAAATGATATTATTCCGAAACTAGTCATATATGTCATATAACCATGAAGTATACAGTTTGGCTTGTGAACAGATGACAGTGAACATTGTAAGCAGATTTATAAAATGAGAAAATGAAACCTAGATCCACGCTCCTCATTGATTTCAAGTATTCGCACAACTTACTCCTCTATTTATGATAAAAATTGTATCAAAATGAACCAAACTTTCCCCACTTCTCATACCTTCCTATGAAAAATTACTAGACTACGAAACATGCCCATTGAGTCATAGAGAAGAGATAATTGAGCGAAGAAAATTTTCTTTTTCGACGATATCATTTTCTAAAGCTGTACAATCGTATTTATATATATCATAAGCATATAACAGTCCATTATAAAACAATAGGATATAATTACATCACTAACCAAGTGCTACGAAAAACTGAATCAGGATTGCAAAGTAGTTGCGTAATAATCTAAGACAGTAGAAATATCGAGGAAGGCAAGGAGTTTGACAAGGTGAAAATTGTTGGTAGATAAGAAACGCAAATATTGAGTGTCTACTTGATAGATAGATGGATGTAAAGAAGGTGAAGAATGAGACAAGGGTCATAATGAAAGTGATAATAATAAACTAATTAATTGTAATGAAATCGAAAAAAATAAAGGGTTACGACCATGGTAAGATGAGAGATTGAACATACTTCTTTTGCACGCAGAGATCAGGCTTGAATTGATAAATTGCCAGTGCCTCCGCTGTGCACAACTATCGAAGGCGTACTCCTTTTGAACGATTCCATCTGACACGAAAAATGACACTGAAGGAAAATTCTGGTCTAGCTTTATGTCCAGAGTTGACCAAATGTTCAAGAATTGAACTGTTAATTGATTTACATTCTCCCCTCGACAACCATGCAGGATAGTGCTCCGAGATACGTTTGGAAAGCGTGCGCTTTGTGCGGCCTATATAACTAGCTCGAACCATTTGTATACCTTGTAAAATTGATTCAAGTATACAGAGGACAGAAGTAAACAAAAATGTGCATATGTCGATTCAACTGCTCTCGTGGAGCCAGGTATATAGGTCGTTCGATGCGACTGTTACCCAAAAGAGTTCAAGAACTCTATCCCACGTGGTTACAAATAAGTAACAATAAGGCGATAAGGAGCGCTAACATTGAACACATCGTGAATACGAACCACCCCATCTCAAGAACCTCCTCGTTCAAAGTCATCTAGGAAGTAAAAAGAAACCTTCCAAAGGCTGTATGTCTTTGTATTCTCTGCATCGCCGAATCTGTCACCATCCATATGGAGAAGCCTGAACTGTGTACACAAAAGAAGATTGTTCAACCCCTTCTCCTTTCATGGTGTTAGTTTTCAGTCTCTGAAATCGCCTCTAACCCCCCCTTTCCCCCCCACTCCTCCCCCTCACCTTTCCTTTTCATTTCTCTGTTTCGGCACTAATCAATTCTTGAATAATGTGCTACTCATTCTTGTTGCTATGTTCTGCCTCATCACAATTCACTTCCCAATTATATCATCATGTTAGGAAACTTCTTGTCCAAACTTATTTTGACTAATATTCACTGCTCATCAGTTTTTGGTTGTGTGATTTTAATGATAAGTCATTTATTAATACTACTTGTATTGCCATACTTGATAAACCGCTTTTAACTATTAAATCCTTACACTAGAAAAATGTATAAATTTGCGATTGTACAGCCTTGGAAATGAAATCACTGAAAAAAGACTCTTCGCTGAAATACTCGTTCTTCTTTTATATCTTAATGGGTATATTTCACACAATAAAAATGAAAATATTTGAGAGTAAGAGTGATCTTTATAGAAAAAGGAATGGACAGTATGTTAACATCAATTAACAGCTATATATATATATATATATATATATATATATATATATATATATATATATATATATATATATATATATATATATATATATATATATATATATATATATATACGCTAACTGATTCTTAAAAGTCCTGGAACATTTGTACTGATACATAATATGGCTGTTACCATTTCATGACATAGAACAGATAAGTATTAACCTAAAACATAAACTATTGACAGTGAGGTATGTTCTTCAGAGAAGCAAGTATATAATTCAATGAAATTTATACTGTTTTAATGCTTTTAAAAATGTTGGACGTGGCATATTTGGATATTCTGTTTTAATTTCAATGTACTTTTTTCCACCAGTGTCTACTGGTTTGCCATCAATATAACGAATACGTGGTTGTTTTTGATCATATTCCTAAAGATTTTTGTAAAAACAAGAAGAAATTATAAATTTCAGAAAAAAAACACGGGAAAACCACAGACGAAAAATAGTCAGGCTGATAATTGTGATATTGGAAACGATAGGCGCTGACTTCGAATTCAAGTAGGAACACAATAAATCGCTGAGATGTAAATACATTCAGCGATCGAGTCAGAAACAAGGCGATATGTGTATCCTAAATAATACTCTATCCCTAACACTCATACAAGAGATGGGTCAACTTTCTCCAAAAAAGGTTCGAGTATTCCATCTCATAAAGGCAAAACAAGTAGCATGTTGGCTTTTCCTGATGAATTTTTGTCAGGGTCAACTTCATAACACCTAGAACGACAGATGGCTCGCTTAAAGCTAAAAGTAGGTTGCCAGTGTCATGAAATGAGATTATTTGTCAATTGGCTTGTAATGATAACGATGTCATGCAGCCTAATAACTTTAGAGAGGGTTTTAGGTCCTATTCTGCTTGCTGTGTGAAAATTCTGAAGGTCGTCTTCAAGCTTTGAAGATAACTTTGGCAAGTTTAAATGTGTGGCAGCAAGGTTTAGTACTCTATTAAATGTCAAAGAAGGAGCAGAAATGTTTATCTGAGAACTTTTATGACTTCCAGTCAACCCCAAGTTTTCATCCCCTAACCCTATGGATTATTATGTTTTCAGAGCGGTTGACAAAGGAACCAAGTACACTGCTTACAATAATAGGGAAGTATCTAAGATCCTTTCGATGGATAACGTAAGCACTACGTGTACCTAGTCCAGGAACTGGACCGAGACCGTGACAAAATCGTGGAGCTTTGGCTAATTGGGTTTTGACATCCTATTTTCTACTACTACTAGTAGGTCTAAGTTCAAAGTTTGCTTCATGTATCGAGATTCAGGCATTCAGGCAGCATAATTAGCTTTCACATTGTAGGTATCAGTCATCTTCCAGTACACGAATCTGTGGATGGATGATGAGTTCGCACCACCATTACGTCTTTGGATGATATCACAATAAAACAAATAAAATGCGAAAGTAAGACATACACTTGGTATGTTCGGTTTTGCAGATCTACCACTGCTGCTCTCTGATACAAAATCATAACGACCAAGAACTAAGGAGCGTTCTCTCTCATCAAGCTTGTCATCATTGTCAACTGTTGTTGCTGTTTTTATTGACTCCGAAGATGTCAGCATTTTAGTTCTTTTTGAAGAGTGTGATTCTTTGACTTCTGTACTGTTCTTATGACTTTTCATTGTGATATGATTTAAGGCGAGTAGAACTGCTTCATCTACATTATTACTAGTTGTACGGAGACAATCTGTAAGAATCTTCCGACAAGCCTTGGAAAGAAAAGAAAATAAAAGAGGAAGTGGAGATACACGGACACCTAGAGGAATAATGAATTGCGTAGTCTCCTTTCTTTCTGCAAAAACGTTATTTTAATACATTAAATCAAATTTACTAGCATCTATTAAGATCACAGACTTCCTAAGTCTTTAGGAATTCAAAAAGATAACAACTGGAGTTCTATACACAACTTTAACTGAAAAACAGAAATTTGTTTGTAAATTGTAATCAAGCCTCACCTTACTTCTAAGTTAAAATAGCCACCAGTTCTATATACTGATCTTCAAGTTATTACATAACCATAAGACCGACTTAACAGCCTCAAAGTGACAGAGATACCTCCCCTTCCTCTGAAAGATATCACGTAGACTTTGCATAAGATCTATCTACAACACTTGTGTAACAGAAAAAGATGTATGCTTATGTTGCATACTGAATCTTAATTTAACATTTGAATAATTTGATAGTATTAGGTTTACAGAAAATCTTTGAATTTCGCCAAGTGTCAAGTAGTTCCGTCAAGATTTTATCGATACAAATGATTTACAAAGTGCACGGTTTATGTCAACATTTCTTACAGTTGTGAAGTTGAAAAACTATTCAGCTATGAGGTATTTCAACGTGAACCAAGTAATTGTAAATTATTTGCAAATTATTCACCCCCTATTTAAGGTATATTGGTCCATGCAAGTCAGCCAGATTTAGGTAATGTGAACAATTCGACTCTGTGAAGTGAATTTGGCAAAATCACTTTGATCTGGCTAGCAAAATATTACAGATCAGTTTGAGGGTATGAAATTTATGATCGTCACTGACTACTACGAGAATGAATACTGATATAGGCGTAAAAGGGAAAAGGATGACTCTTTAAGGCAGTCACCTTTTACGATTTCAATCATCGCCATTATATACATAGTAGCAATGTCGAGTATTAAAATGCTTTAGCTTACATTTCATCAACTAGTTAATTATTCATAATATTATGCTGTTTTATAAACCAGTAATTTACAATATTATTGCTTATTTTTATCTTCATCCCACCCACTGACAACCCATTGTTAAATGTTTTGATTTGTCAGAACTATAGTAAGCAGTTAAGCATTTGTTTTCAAAAACTTCTGCCCCAGTATAAGACCTATTTCAGCTATTTTCTAAACAATGAATGTCGTTGAAGTTTGACATTACCACCCCAACTTAATTGTTGAGATGGTATATCAACTTAATATCTTGAATGCGTTTATGGTTATATGACTTCCTTGTTCATGCAGTTGCCTCTCTTTGAAATTGTAGATGTTATCTGTCAACACGCCAATCTCCTTTTTGAGATGATAGAGAATATTTGTAGCTCATGAGGATGATATTGACGGTGTTGTGTTCTCTGAGTTTGATTATTTAATCATGGAGCTTTCGCTGTCGTTCTAGACATCATCACCACAAACTTCAGGAACAACTGAGTGATACAGTTTTCTCCGCAATTCATTTAGTGGCTTGCTCTGATGGCCTTGTGTGTGATTGATTGGTCCCGTCAAGGTCTTGTTGTTGTCTCCATATTGATGACCTGAAATTTGATCTTTTTGTTTCTTATTGGTTGCCAGATTGGGTCAATGTTAATATGTCTGTTGATTGCTGACTGATCTGAATACCAACATAGATATTGACCTAATCTATCAACCATTACGAAACAACAAGGTCAAATTTCAGGTCATCAGGACAGCCAATCAAAATGAACATAGAGACAATAATAGGACCATGGCAGAAACAACCAACCACACACAAGGCCATCAGGACAAGCCACTAGATAAATCGCGCATAAAACCGTACCACTCACTTCTTCCTGAAGTTTGTGCTGATATTGCCTAGACTGACAACTAAAGCTCCACGATTAAACAATCCAACTCAGAGAACATATCACCATCAAAGCCAATGTCCTCTCTCCACCAACGACTGAATTCAAGAAGTCTCTATTAGGTACTAAAGATGTTCATTTCAAGTTTGACAATATCTATAAGTTGAGAAGGTGGTAATGGATCGTTCACTAAAACTTATTCTGGCAGATATTTCCATACGTAATCTTGAGCTGATGAAACAGCATCCAACCACAGATACGTCGATGATATATTCATTGGGGGTAAGAATTTACACTGAGCATCATATCTGCTTGAAATCTCCAACAGTGAACATAAAAACACTAACTTCATAATGAAACATGAAGACAATGGTAAACTCAATTTTCTGGACTTCAGTATTCGGTGTAGAATTGATGGCACATTTCAGCAATCTATCCATTGCAAAGGCAAACGGAATGGTCTTTGTCTTAATCTCAACAGTTTCTGACCAGTCGCCTATAAACGAGGACTGAATAAATCGCTATTCTGTAGAGCACGAAGAGTAGGTTCACCAGATAAAATTGAAGAGGAATTATCGCTTCACGAGATGTATAGAATATCCACATAGCTTCATCAACAAATATGGTAGAAGAGAAGGCAATAAGATTGAAAGAATAACAGTAAGAAGCCTGTCCTCATTCACCTTGACTTCAGAAGTGATGAAACAGCGATGAAGATAAACCGAAGACTACGAAATTTACTGAGAAAGGAAGTATTCTGCAGTAAAGCTACTTCCCCGGTTTCAAACTTCCTTCTCTCTGGTAGAATCAAAAATCGACAGGTACCTTTCATATGCTACCTATAACTGGGTATACCTGCCGCAGCAGTTACACTGGAAGAACAGAAAGAATGACTTATGTTCGATATTTGAAGATGTTCCGAAGAGCAAGTATCTTCAATAGTGCAATTAGTAAGCACTTGGTGGATACAGAACATTAACCAGATGACTTGGAATCGTATAAAGTAATCAACGATAGGAGGCATTTCCAACAAACTACAGACATCCATCAGCGCCTGCCTACGCTCGATACTCAAGACCAGATGGCCAGAATAATAAGAATAAGTAACAAGGAACTCTGGCTGGCTGGCTGGTTGGTTGGTTGGCTGGTAACGAACCAACCAAGAACTCATCACCCAACAAATATACAGAAGAAAGTGGAGATGGATTGAATTGAACATACACTGAGAAGACAGTTTGGGGACATTACGCGACAGGCTGGGCCGTCGAGTGGAACCCAAATGGAAAACGACTAGTTGGGCGTCCGAGGGTGACATGGAGGAGATCGTGTGAGGAAGAAATGAAAGGTTATGGGCGGTCATGAAGCGAGGTTGAAAAGACTGCATCCAGCAGAGTGACATGCAGACGTGCAAGTGAAGCCCCACTAGGAACCCAAGAGACAAATAATAATAATAATAATAATGTTTGTTCTTACTTACTGTGGGTGTCTAATTGGCATTGTTCCTTAGACATTCGAACGTGGGCATGAATCAACCACAGTGGAACTAGTTATCCTCGAAGTGAATATGAACAGAATTCCGATTGTCTTTGTGGTGACTTACTGAGATATCGATCATGTTCACCTCTAACTTGAATGGTCAACTAATTCTCCATCTCGAATGAACCAGTAGTATTAAAATTAACAAATGAGCCTGGTTCCAGCTTGTCAGTTTACCAAAATGTGATAACAGCATTAAGTGTACAAAAGTGATGAATATTGCCAGCTACAACTTTCGTGAAAATTCTGCTCATAAACACCAAGCTAGCAAGAGCAGTTTCTAACTTCTTGGCACACTTTTATCTAACTTGATTCATCATGCGTGAATTAATCTGTTATGTGAAAATTTGCACAAAGCTTAACCAAGGAGCATAAAATTCAGTGATCATAATGCGTAGTTAAAAATGGGAACAGCAGATATATTTGATAGCTGTAGAACGCCGTCGTAGATCTCATCCAAGCCACAAAAAGTGGAAAATCTAGTATAAATGAAGCGGTTTTTTATTCTTATAAGTCAACAGTAAAGTTGAGTATTATTCAATCTCATTATTCATATTTGACAATTGTACAAATGTGTGCAATCATTGTCATCTTCAAAATTTCGAATATTTCCAATTACCTTCATTTATTTTAGTGCCATTCTTTTTTCCTCCATTTCTTTGTATGCTATTTTGGAGTGCACCAACTTGAACTGGCGTCCGTCCGTGGAACGTTCTACCATAATTTCTATTTCCCTATTTATTTTCGACAATAGCAGAAGTCTTTTTGACACACATTACTAGCAATTAATTATTGAAAATTGAGGTAAATATTATGTATAAAGATGGTTGTGTGAGTGTTATATGGCAGGAAGTTCTATTGGCCTTCATCAACAGGGCGCGTATTTACGAACATGAAGGCTTCCTGTTGATTAATTCACAACATCTAACACTAAAATACAGTGTATCATAGTGTCGTATCATTTAACTAAGCGGCCACACTTCAGACTTGATCGATAGGCTTCAGTCAATGTTAAGCACTATGGTCTAGATAATCACACCAGTTACCAACTCATGATCAATTTACGTAGTTATGTGAGGACTGGCTTGAGAATAATCAACGAGGTCAGTCTTCTTACAACACTTATGCCAGGATGATGTGTGTAATAATTCAGGCCATTGTGACACCGTTACAACACCCGTCTAACTACAAAACACTGGATATATAATATTGCTGCCCAATAATAATCCACACCTTAAGTTAGTAAAAATAGATTGTTACATGTCATACTATAGTGTAAGCAGAATATAAAGCATTCAACTACATTTAATCAGGGTAGAAGTGTAGATACAAAGTTTGTATTAGTAAATTACAGCGGCAAGCTACTGCTTATTGATTTGAACTGATGCTACTGGTGCTTTGTAGTAGTTGCTGATCAAACGTATAGTGTTTGTGATGATAATAATACAGCGAATAGGATCGTTTTTGGATGCTGGTATGTATTCTTAGTTATGCAGCACCAATAACTAGCTTACTGAGGACGATACAGCAGTGCCGATACACTTATATACTGCTGGCTTTGGAGAAAGTGTCTACTCACAGATTTTATTCTAGTTTTATACCTAATTGCTT